GCCCCCGCGGAAGTTGTGTGCCCCTTTAGATTCCCCTTCCCCCCCCCCCCCCCCCCCGTTTGTCCTTCCGCAGCGGGTCGTGCTGCTGGGCTGCGTGAGCGCTCGGTGCTGCTTGCAGGTCGGTTTCCTGCTCTGCAAGCTCTGGTTATCGGTGGCAGCGCGGGTATTTCTGGTGGCTCGGGGCGGGGGTACTGCAGGCCCCCCTTACAGGTGCTTGGGTACGGTGTGTTCTGCTGCCCGCCGTGGCTAAATGTTCCCTTCGGCTGGGCAACCGTATTCCAGGGCTGTGATGCAGTGTCCTTGGATGGTGAGGAAGCAGTGAAGGAAACAAGGGTTTTCTGTTTCCTTCCTCATTTGCAGTGGCCTTCGTGTCATAAACTATGACTGCAGTGACTCTGCAAGATTGATGTCTTTCTTGTAAGGACCTAACTTTCAAAGGGGCAAAGCATACTTACAATGATGTGATGGAACTTAGAAGGAAGAAAAAAAGGTTTGTTTTATTCACATTCAAGCAAAGGCAGGATCCTTAATAAGGTTAGGTTAAGTGATCTTCTGGCACTAACGTGTTTGCATAAAAAATAACAGGCAAAACATTTGTTTTCATTTTAGGAGATTATAAAATATGAAACTTCCTGACAGCAAGAGTTGCGGAGTAATGCTTCCTTCTTACAAGATAATAAAATTGCTTTCATATGTAACATCTGATGATATTTTAACTATATTTTTAATCTTCCATTAAATTTATTTCTGTAAATATTTATAACATACTATTATGTCTACCTTATTTCTGTAGCTCCAGTAATCATTCATAATTAATAAACTTTCTTTTCAGTTTCCTAATCTAACATGGTAGCATCCTATAAATTCTCTTTTACGTGTCTTGTCATCTAAAAGATACTGACAGCTAGAATGGAGTGTAATTTCTGTGTGTGCCACAAAGCAAAGCAGAGAGAATTTTTGTTCTGTCCTATGACATGATGGGGAGTTTCTTTAGTGCAGTTTAGATCAGGTTAACAACTGGGGTTTTGTTGTTGTTGTTGTTTTGCCCCCTCAGTGGGTGAATTGGGGGGGCCATTTTTCACTATGAAAAGTGAGCGCTGTAGGAATTGTGACTTTTTTTAACAGAACCTTCAGAATATGAACATGCTGAACATAATAGCTAAGCATGCATGTGATTTGTTCTAATTGTAATGTAGTGTTTATTTTGGAGCAAATATGAATTGCCGTTTCACTCATGAGAACATCAAAGAAAGGAGACAATATGAAGATGCTAACAATATATTGTAAGTAGCATCTTGTTCTAGTGTCAGAAGAGGAACGATTGCAGTTTTAAGTCAAATGTGGAGATTTATTGCCACCTTTGTTCCCATTTTGACTGCCGGAGATACCCATGTGTATAAAGCCTAAATTATTATGGCCTCTTTTTGTTATTTTATGTGTTACAATAATGAGTTACAATATATAATTGTTTAATAACTCATTTCAGGTACTTGAGAACTCCAGAGGATTAAGCAATTATGCTGGAATTCCTTTGGTCTAGTAAATAGGTCTTTTTCCTAAAGCTTTTACAGTTGAATGAGTTACAATATATAATTGTTTAATAACTCATTTCAGGTACTTGAGAACTCCAGAGGATTAAGCAATTATGCTGGAATTCCTTTGGTCTAGTAAATAGGTCTTTTTCCTAAAGCTTTTACAGTTGGAAGCTACTTCCTTTCCTTTTTTTTTAAAAAAAGAAAAAAAGCTACCTCCTTTTTTTTTAAAAAAAAAAAAAAAAAAAGCTTTTGTAGTCTGTGCTTTTAGAGACTCCTTTTGGCTTTTAGCTTCTTGAAGAAGGAGGCATTGGTATTAGCTAATCACGTATTGTGATTTAGCTTGGGGATTGGACATCATTTAACTGCTAAAAGTAAAATATTCCCCCTGGAGTTCATGATCACTTGTTCCTTTTCCAAGAATAGTTAAGGGCACTAGTTCTTGCATCTTGCCCTAACTGTAAGTAGGATAAACGCATGCTGTCAGCTTAAATTGTCAGCCGTGTAGTCAATATACCTGAAGACTAGTAAGTGTCAAAAATAGCCATTAAATTGTTTCCAGTAGCTGTCAAAAACCTGTGGAGCTCAGTCATTCAGATAAATGTGGTTTGTGCTGGTACAAGTTTACTGCTAAAATATACTTTATATGTTATTTGACAAGCTCTTTCACCTGTGATTGAAAACTTGTGCCCTTAAGTGGGCTGGGGTTTCCTCAACTGAGCATTATTAACAGTCTCCTAAATTTTCTTTTATGATTGTCAACTTTACAAAAAATTATTTATATTACCATTTGCCTATGTAATTTATAAGATTAATTTTGGATTGCTCAGAACTAAATGGGTACTTTGCCTATGTAAAACAGGGCCTAGACTGGAGGCCTAGACAAGAGGACTTAAAACTTATTCCACTGAATATTCCATTGGTCTCTTCAGCAATAACGAAGAAGTAAGAGGCTACCATGACAGAAATAATCCAGTTAAATTTCTGGCTACCTTCTACTTAATTTTAACAATAAAGTATTTTGCAGTGCACACCACCGTGGTGCTATGGTTAACTACTGTCTGTCATAACTCTTGCTATGCTAAGATAAACCAACAATCTAGAAGTAATAAAAGATGTAGAAGAAAAGAACTTATCTGTCTTTAACATTGCCTCCAGTGTTGTTTTTCTAAAATCTTCAACTGGATCAGCCTCCTGGGAGGGAGTGTGAATCTGAGGCCTGGTCTGTATTGTAGTTTTACCACTGAAATGTGCTTTTGGTGGACACCTTGCACACATCCTTGCTCAGTTTGAATTCCGCAGGTTTCTTGCAATAAAACCAGGCAAGTTAAATTTTTCCTTTCTCCCCAGTGGTACAAGCCCTTTTTTGTTACTGTTCTATGGGAATAGTGTTTGTGTGGATGCTGCACTGTGTGTACATGTATGACCAGTTCTGCAGTGGCAATCCCTCCACCATTCCAGCCATCACTTTGTTAGTTGACTCCCCCCTCCCCTCCCCTTCTAGTTCTCTTTAATGACACCCCCCTTCCTTTTGGTTCTTTTTAAAATGTTCAGTGAAAATCCCTCTTTTCTCAGTAACCTACATTCATGATATTGCAGGTATGGCTCTCTGTAAAACTAGCTAAAATTAGCTAAACATTATCATCTCAGAAGGAAGTTTCGGAGTGACAGGGGCTTTGGAAAGAATGGTGCAAACACAGCTGTGAAATTTCACAAGGGAGTAGAGATACTAGTTAGGACTTTGCAAGGGAGTACTTGACATAGCCTAGTGTTCAACTGCAATTAAAAAAATTGTGGCAATCTTACCGGGAAATGGGAAGCTAAGAGGGGACCTCATGCTCTGTCATAACTGTGGTTCTTATGAGCAAGGGTTCTACTGTGACCTGAACAGCAGCAATAAAGCACAAAGAAAAAATAAAGTGTCCCAGACAGAATGAAGCTGAGATTTTTTTTTTTTTTTTTTTTAAGAAGCTGATAGAGAGATGTAGAAACGTTTGAGGCTCAGAGGGACCCAGTGTGAGGAGGGGAACTTCAGCAAGTATAATATACTGTCCCCATTGATATCTGCTTTCTTTAATTTTCTTCACAACCCTTGCCAAGTCATTTCCCCTCTCAAAATCTTGAATCTTGGCTGACTGCCCACAGGCAAGGAACAAAGAATTTCTGTTTTTAAATAGTTGCTTTATTTTAAAGGCATTCACTGACAGTAGTAGGCAAAATTGGGGGGGGGAGGGGGGGCGCTGAAAAAAAGCCAGGATACTTTAAGGTACCAAAAAGTACTTAAGCAGACTCCTGAGACATAATGCAAAATAAAAACAATTGTTGGCAGAAGTGTAAAATAAAAACAATGCAAATAGGACTACATGCATTCAAAATAGAAACAAGTCACCAGTATTTTTAAAATACTGAAATACAAAAGGTAATCTAGTGTTTGGACACTCAGATGATTTTATACCAGAGCCACTGTAAACTCGATGTGTGGGTTTTCAAGTCTAAAGTGAGGTGTCTTTGCTTTCAACTCAAAGTCCAGCTACAAAACAAATTGGTTGTATGCTGTTCTTAGAAGCCTGTAGGAGATAAAACTGTTCCTGGTTTAAGATATGTTTGGGGTAGTCCCAGCAGCTTGTCAGCAGTGACAGTATCTGTCTGCTTGGTGAACTGTGACTTCTGTTGGCCCAGATACCCTTTGGTTGCATTGAGAGACAGGGACTGGCGGGAGCACACGAGGAGATTTTCTTCTTTGCTGCAGCACTGTAGAAGAATAGGTATTCTTGGTACTTACTTACCCATTTTTGCTATTCCCTTAAACCTCATGTCCTCCTATGATTTCACTTGGAATACCCGTTAAAGCTATTCCCTGAAAGAAAGGTAGCAATAAGGCAAAGGGGTTTTTTGGGGTTTTTTTTCAGCATTCCTTGATAAGTGCAAGTCTCAGGCATGCAGAGGCAGGGAATGAAGGAACATATGCTGTGGGAGAAGGTATAAAGATAGATGTCCTGGAAAAGACACCAAGCACTAGGCAGACTCCTTTGGCACTGCATTCCAAAAGTGGTATGGAACTGCTAAAACCTGCAGTCCAGCAGCCGTCATACTGATAGGGCAACCTTTTTTTTTTTCCAGAAATATGCCTTCTTACCTATTCTTAAGATGGCAGTGTGTTGTGTAGTGCTGTTCTTTTCACTTGAGCCTAGCAGGTATTAATATAAATTCTCTCTTCTAATGGCTGATCTATGATGCAGTCTAGAAAGATCCTCAAGTCTCATCAGCACACAGGTATAGCATTTTGATGGGCTTTGTTGTGTCAGGCATTGCTGAGGTTTTGTCAATAGGGTATCCTCTTTTCCCTCTCTGCTGGTGACATTTTTCTGTTGACCAAATTTTGCAGCAACAGTAACAAGAATACTTAACATGCTGAGAGTTGATCTCCTCAAAAGAGAGCTCAAACATGGTTTCACTTGTCTGGGGACATATATTGCTGTTAATTGTTTGCTTCAGAGTAGAATATTCTGCTCTTTTATGGCGCTATGCAGCTGTCTGAGTGAACCTGATTAATGAACCTGGGAACCAAAGGGCAGTGTTGGTCTGCAAAAGTCACCAGTACAGGAAAATGGTTTTATTGGCATCTTTTCAAGAACTCATGTGCTCTTAAAAATATGAGGAATGTGATTCTTCCTTGGGCACCAGTTTTAAATATGAATGATGCGGGTAAGATGATTTGTTAAAGGGAGTTTGTGTTATGTGTAGGAACGGAGAACTGAAGTTTCTGTGTATTGCCAGAAATCATGGTCCTGTGTAACAGGATATACTTAACTTTTTTGGGCACCTGTTTGTCAGTTGCACCTCATGCAGATTTTTCTCCTACTGCCAAACCGATAGCCATCTAAGACTGCAAATTACCAGAATGCAAACATCATTTCTGGTGTTCCAAAAAGTCTCAGCACATAGCTCTTTGGCTTCT